ATCCTTTATCTTTTGAATATTTTTCGCTAAATCTATTCCTAAGTATTTAATTGTTTTACATATTTTAAAATCATGTTTTTCAGTAAACTTTTCTTGTTCTATTCTACTATAATTAAACAACATTAAGTCAGATTTTTAAAGGAGATTTAATTTTTATTTGCCCCTTTTTATCAAGGATGAATGTTGCATTTTTCTTAAGTGAAAAAAAAAGATCCTGATAATTGTAATTGCAGCATTTGAATGTTGAATTTATAAAGGTAATAACACTCTTATATGCTTTCATTTTTGGTACAATTACAAGTATCATGGGCCAAAGTGTTATTTTGAATGTGCTTAACTGGTATAGGTCACAAAACAACTTTTTACAATACTGCAGCCACAATATAGAATCTATGAAAGTATTCTTTAGCTCTCTCTGTGTGTTATATGCCATCAAGTTGATTCAAAGTTATAACACCTCAGTGCAGGGGCTATTTGGCTACTGAGTTTATTTTCTAGACATTGAAAAGCTTTAATTGAAACACATAAATGAATATCGTATTATACAGCAAAATACTGCATGAACTATAAGGTTATATACAGGAGACCATCATTCTTTTAAAAAAATTTGAAACTCAAAAGTTTGGAAGATGTGAGAGTAATCTTACTATTCTAACCTACTATTCCTGTAACAGATGTTATTCAGTAATTTTAGTAGTGTGCTAGATTAGTTTAGATGAGAAGTACCATTACTTGAGAGACAGTGTGGTGTAATAGATAAAGACTAGAACTCAGGAAACCTGGGTTCATATCTCTGCTTGGCTGTGGAAACTCACTGTGTCATGTGTTCTTTCTGTCTTTTTTTTTAATATGGAGGAGGTATCTACAAGATGATTCTTAAATATCTCACATCCCTTTAAATCCCATTACATTCACCATAAATTGAAAGTGATTTGACAGCACATACTGCATGGTATTACTTGCAAATATCAGTAACTCCGCTTCTTTCCACAAATATATAAATACCTTGCTATAATTCCAGCAGTGCATCTGCCTGCCTATTGTGATTCATCTTCACCAGTAAAAAAAAAAAAGCTTGTTATCTGATATTTGTCTGTTCTTTTGGTGGCAAAAGGCCATGTTCAGTAGTTTCAAAACATTGTATTTTTCACTTCTCAGCATAAATGGAAACCCAGTGTCAGGATCTATGATACAGGTCAATAAATCATTGAATATGTCAATTTGCATTTTATTTGTGTATAAAGTAGTTTATCATTCAGTTCTTCTGAGGGTGCATTGGGACTGTGCAGCATGTCCAAGGCTACACAGGCTGGCTCCTCCTGCTTGGAGGCACAATGGAAAATCAGATTCCAAACCTCTGGCTTTGTAGTCAAATACCTAACTCACTGATCTATTGAGACAGCTGACACCTTTATTAACCCACTGAAACCTCTTAAATAGGTCTGAGTCCTGCAAGACTCTGCATCAAACTGAGCATTGTACTACTTATTCATTCTCCTTTTGGGAAGCTCTATAGTAATCAAAGAAATTAAGTGTGCAAGTGTTAACGAGTAACAGAGTGTGAAGTGTGTGTGGGTTCCAAAAAGACCTGAGAAGAAGATGGAGAAATCACAAGGGAAGATGGGATAGTGTGCCTAATAAAGAGCTTCAAAAGAAGATGCAAGTTGCAGGCAGAGACAGTTTTGTTATTAACAAGAGACCGCTGTGTGGGGAAATGTTTGGATTTTTGCAGTTGTTGTGCCCAGACAAGAGGGAAGTGAAC